AGACTTTAGTCTTTGCAACTTTACAGATCTTCTTTATGCACCAAGAGCTTGTAACACTCCAAAGAGAAAGGAAAAATTGAAATCGCATCATATGACCCCTTTAAAGAATTTGCCACTGATGATTCAAACACGAGTTTTGAGCAGTGTAGAGTAGCGCTTGTTGTTTGTCGTTTCTCCGATCACAAATGCAGACATGGTTTTATGTTTACGTGGCGCGATGCAATGCAACGCGTAAAAAGACAGTATAAGTCATTATAATCCGTAATTATGTCCCCACTGGATGCAACAAATGCCTCGTTTATAATGGGTTTTATTGGTTTTGTCTCATCGCGCCGGGACACGGCATCACAGTATGGTAAGGGGCGTAACATTTCCGTCACACGCTTGAGGTATTCAGCCAATCACAACGCACTGGCTAGCTGGCCAATCAGAGCTCACCTCGCTTTTCAGAAAGATGAGCTTTGCAAAAATCGACGCATTTCAGAAAGGCGGGGCATAGAGGAGAAATGTACAGTATGTGGAAAATAATGTGTTTTTTTAACCTTAAACCGCATAAACACATTTCATTACACCAAATACACAAAATAATGTTATTTTTTAGCAGCATCTTATGACCCCTTTAACACAGTCAAATGCTTTGTTCCTGAATGAATCAGCCATTTGAATGAATCGGTTAAATCTCAATGACTCACTCATTAGCAGTCACTTGCTGCCACCTACTAGCAGTTTAATTTTTCATTTTGACTATTTTTTCATGTTTTCAAATATCATTTGAAGAACTAATCATTTAAAATATCAGTATTCAGTGTTTTATGTTTAAAAAGGAGCATTATTTATGTTACATTTGTAACATTTTGTAACTTTATTTGCTCATTTTCCATTTTGCATTTACTTGTGTTTTTACTTTCAATACTTCAGTATGTTAAATATATTATATTAAGTATGTTTATTATAATATACTACTTTTCATACTTAAGTACAATAAATATCACATACTTTAAGACTTTTACTCAAGTAATATTCTAAACGGTGACTTCAGCTTCTACCAAAGTCATTTTCTGGTAAGATATCTGTAACTTTTACTCAAGTGTGGCTTTCAAGTACTTAATCCACCACTGATTACTAGCATATTGGCTGTGTATTAGTACTTATAAGTACATATTAATGCCTTATTCTGCATAACCATATTCTACATCCCTTAATCCTACCCCATACCTAAACTTAACAACTAACTATGAATAAACAGCAAATTAGGAGTTTATTGAGGCAAAAGTTAGTTTTAACTAGTTATTAGTTAGTTAAAAAACGTGGGACCCTTTGTTTTCTCATTGAATATCCTCATATTCCTCATTTTCTTATATATTCTCAGAAAAACAGTGCATTATGGATGTTGTTGAGAGGTGTGTTTTTGTGCTGAGCTTACATTTGTTCACCCAGATGACAAAATTTGGCACTGGACCATCTTTTAAATGTGATGTCAGCAGTGTTTTTCTGAGCCATATGGTGACAGGCCATTGTGTGCTCCTGCATTATGTTTAATCAGCACTGCTGTACATCACATTCAGCGCCTGAGTGCCAGAAGTTTCTCATCAACATGTACATTATTTCAGAAGCTAGAACAGCAGCTGGAAGCACAAAAACACTCTCCAACACAAACATAGATATATGACAAAGCATCGTAAGCTTAAGTACATCGTAGACCCATTGAAACCAATGGAGCTACGATCAACTTAAGCCTATGATGCTTTTGGGAAATGCAGCCCAGATGTTTTTTATGCAGTCATGCATATACTGTCTAAAGGCGCTGACTCGGTTAATCATTCACTGTTTACAGTGCGTGAATATCACTATGTAACGTTCGGCCCTATAGGTCGAATTTACAATTGTTAAAATGGGGTCAGATTATACTGTGTGAGAACTTTGAGCGTTTAAAAAGATGAGACAGACAACAATGTTAAAAGTGAAAATCAAATATATATTTACAATATTCACAGTGGACATAAAACAACACAGAAAAACTAGAAATCCTAGGCTGTTAAAAGCACAGAGTCTTTCAGTTCCATACCATTAAAACAGTCCCAATGTGAATGTGAGAAGTGTCCACCGGTGTATATACAATCCAAAGAGAGTGATAATCCAATAAAGTGAGATTCTGGAATGGTAAATCCACAAAGGTAACTCCTCAATCCAGACTTTGGTCAAAGACCCTGATTGTTTGGCATGCTGCTTGCTTTATACTGGTTTACTTCCTTATTCCTGTCATGTGATTGATCACATGCCGTGATTTGCCGTGATGACGCGCGTCGTCCGAAGATGGTCCTCGAGAGGATTTCGCCACCTTCGTGGAGTTGACTCTGGCAAGAAACGGATCGCCATCAACCACCTGCCCCGTGGATGATCTCGCCAGATCCACTCCAGACCCAGTGCCCAGCCCACCATCTCCCCACGGTGCAGAGCATCAGCCCGAGCCCACCGATGATGGAGAGTCCATCACCGCCGCGATCAATGAGCCAGTGCAATGCCGAGCGACTGAGTGGAGGATCGCCCCGGATGTGGAGCCCCACCCATCAGACCAGGTGCGAGAGCCGGCGACAGTGCCCACCGCGAGGGAGCAAGCCGTGGACGGTGAGAGCGCGGAGTGGAGCTCCGCCCACTGCACTGCGGCTGAGGATGAGCTAATTATACATCTGGGACTGCTGGACTTAGAACCTCCCGCCAGCTCCATCTTGGTCCTCAGTCGCTCCGGCTCTGCCTCGGTCGCCAGAGCCCTCGGCTCCACCCTGGCCCTCCGGGTCCTCGGCATCCCCCTGGCTCGTTGGCTCTCCGTCTCCGCATCGG